GCCGTCCTCGGCCGCTTCGCGCACACGGGCCACGCGCTGCGCATCATGGAGCGCGCCGCGGCGGCGCTCGCGCAGCGGGAGCCGGTGCTGCTTGTCGGGGAGACGGGCACTGGCAAGACCACCACTCTGTCGCACCTCGCCAACCTGGTGCGTGCCTGATGGGCGCTGCACGGCAGGTGCATCTGTCTTGCATGCTCGCCTCATCAGCATGGGCACGGGGCTGCCTGCGCCCGCACCCTCAGCCCGGCGGCCGAACCGCCCGAGGTGCTGATTCACCCGAACAGAGCGTGCGTCACCGGACGCTCGGCTTGCCAACCACAACTGCTCAATCGCAAAAAAGCGCCGATTGATTATTTGCCTATCAAACTTTTGCCTGTTCCCCAAAGACCGGCTCCAAGCTGGTGGCGTTCAACCTGAGCCAGCAGACAGACAGCTCAGACCTGCTCGGCGGCTTCAAGCCCGTTGGCGCGCAGGAGAGCCTGCTGCCCCTGCTGGCGCCCTTCCAGGACCTGGTCCGCCGCACCTGGACCAAGTGAGCAGTGTTTGCTGCCTCCGTTGCTTGCGGCAGACGGCTGGGCGTGGCGCAGGGGGGTTTTTCGTCTGCAGGGCAAGCGGGGAGCCGCTGCTTCCTTGCACCGCCGGTCGCCGCCCCGCCGGCGCGCAGGCGTCTCCTCCCAGCCACCTACAGTCTTCGTTGCGTTTGTTGGCCGCCTCCAGCTTGAAGCTTGCGCCCAAGTCGCATTGCCACACCCATCGGTGGCCACGGGGGGCTGCCCTGGGCCCCTGGTTACCCTCCGAGCGCCTGTGCAACCTTCCCTCCTTTCTCCTCCACCTTGGCCTCAAACCCCAGGGGCAACAACGAGGAGTTCCTGGGCCGCGCAGCCAAGTATGCCGAGCGCCGCAAGTGGAGCCACCTGCTGGCCGCACTCAAGACGGGGCTCTCGAAGGTGCTGCCGCTGCTGGGCGCCGCAGCCGAGGGCGACGATGGCACGAGCGCAGACGGCGGCGCCGGCGGGGCCGCGGCGGTGCAAGGGGGGGACGAGGAGATGGCAGATGCGGGCGAGGAGCGCGCGCGGAGCCACGAGACCGCAAGCACGTCGCAGCCCGCGGGCGGCGGCGGCAGCGGCGTGGGCAGGAAGGGCGCGCGCGGCCGCGGCCGCGGCGCCGGCAAGGCCGCGACGGCCCCCGCGGCTGCGGCGGCGGCGTCGGACGCGGCCGTGGCCGTGGCGGCGGGGG